TGTTGAGTTACCATTCAAGGGTGAACGAATTAAGTGTAGGGTTACCATGGTACAGACAAGTTAGACATTATATAAGGCTTTTTATTAAAGAAAAGTTTATTATACGCGCTTATTTCTATGGAAATGGATGCCTATTAGATATTAATCATAAAGTGTATAAGTTATCAAAGGATGGTAGGGACAGTCATAAGAAATATGATGTGTACAATTGGTTGAAAGGTCCCATGTTAATAAACTAGGTTCGTTACCGGTGTGTTGTTTACATACCAGGTTACATGTTGAACAGAGCGCATTTATTCTTAAAAGCTCGACCTTGACCAATTAGAATACCGTATACCATTAAAAAAGAATGCTAAACGATGGAGGTCCTTAGGTCGACCTTAGATGAAATTTTGGTTTCGATCGGTCAAGCCGTTTCGGAGGAGTAGGTATCGTTACAAAGAGTGCAATCACTCAGCGCACGCTTTTGAGTTTTAGTTTAAGTGCCATGGATACCTACTATTGTCTACCATACAAAAACCCGTAATACGGACGATCAAATTTAATAGTACTTATATCTAAAAATTACATATATAGGTACCTAAGTATAGGTACATGGTGTATAGGTACCATAGTCATTTAGTCATTAAAGCAAACCTATCCAAACATGAGTGGCACTACAACAGTAGGTCTTTAATAACATTTTTACGTCCTGTTTACTTTCTAGTTATTTTCATTAAAGATCAAGTTGTCCGTATAAGCAAAATAAAGAGCGGTGTTCGTGTTTTCGCCAAAATCTCCCCTGCGGCCATTTGTCGGCACAGTATCCCGGCGGACTCGTTACCACATCCCGCGTCAACGCAGCGCTGATTTATTCATCTCTCGCCACCTCGCCCAATACAACTGACAAATAAATGTCGCTTTTGTTTCCCTTTACCCGGAGATTTAGTGTCGCTGTGTTGATGAGGGAAACACCACACTGTACATGCTGGGCGCAATTTCATATATCAAGGATAATTTGTGGCTTCTTCTCTACAGGCTTATAAAGAAATTGGAGAATTAGCGGGGATTATAAAGTTAGCGAGGTATATTGTAGATAGGACTGTACCTTGCGATTACATTGTAGATAGGAGGACTGTACCTTGCGACCTATGTAGATAGGACCTGTACCTTAAGGCACAGTTTATATTTTGTTTAGATATGTAACTGAAGATAATTTCTGCCTTTTTCTATACAGGCTTAAGTATAAAGAAATTGGAAAATTAGCCAGGATTATAAAGCGGAGTATATTGTAGATAGGGCTGCTGTCCTATCTACAATATACCTACTCCGCTATATAGTATATAGTTACATAACTAAACAAAATATAAAAAATGGTACCTTTAAGATAAAAAGGTACCGTTTTTTATATTTTGTTTAGTTATGTAATTATATGCAATTTGTGCTTTTTTCTCTACAGACTGATAAAGAAATTGGAGACTAAACTGGGTTAGCGGGATATATTGTTGCCTATCAACAATATATCCCGATCCCGATAGCGATTTAAGGCACCTACCAAAATTAAACAAAAAGTATTTAGCTATGTAACTAAACTGTGTAACTATATTCACATAATAGTAATGCTGGTGTTATTGTGACTGTATGTAAATTCACGAAATTAGCTTTGATCATGTTTTATTCATTGAGGTTCCAGGTTCAACCAGGTTCTTTTAATTGGCACTTACCATGGTAGAACTAACCATTGATAATATAATATTAAATAGACTTAATATTTTTTTAATTAGTTATTCTAATTTTAAAATGATTAATAAACGTTGAGAATAAACTACAGAGGTGCCTGTTGTATGATAAAATGATATCTTAACGTATTTACAAAAGTTGGCGCATATTTTGGGCCTGTTATACACCATGTGAATGACAACGCAAAAACTTCCATACTTCTCTAAAATAGGTATATTTTGGTAATAAAAAAACAAAACTTCAGATATCTATTGAACTTAGTATGCTACTTTTACTGCCGATATAAAAATATTACAGAGACATTTCCAAACTTTCTGTTGCCATTATTAGATATGCTATAACTTTACACATTATAAAAAAACAACTTCCACTATCAGTGTACTTTATTTTTTAATATGCGTAACGAATTTTAATGCAATTATCAGCATCAGGTGGAGTGAGTTAAGAGGACCTGTTTTCCTATATGTATAATTAATAAATAAGCACCCATGCGAAGCCGGGGCTGGCAGCTAGTTATTACATTATGCCAACAGACAGAACGCTTCTCTCAGAATCTATCTACAATAGACACATAATATATGCAGGAGAACAGACCTTTATACATTTAGAACCAACCTTAATACTTACATTTAAAAAAATATTGCTGATTGACTATTTATGTTTAGGCTATTAGGCCTGCAAAAAAAAAGACTGTAACCTACAATTTGTATTACAAGAAATATTAGTATGGCAGTATACAGTTCTAAGGTAACAGCAATTTTTCGATTCGATTAATATCGAAATTTGCTAATTGAAATTATTTTCAATTAGCAAGTTTCGTAATCACTCCTAAATTACATACTACGTTTACACAGTCATCTGTAGTCATATTTATTTTAAATTAATACGAAACAACATTGAATATTATGACCTAATCCCAAGTAATTAGTTAGCGGAATAATAACAGCGGTTTATATAAGAGACTTCGCCTCGACCTAAAGGATCAGCTGCTAATAAGCATAGGATTATAGACTACCAGGGCAACGATTCTTAGTTCATATAATTTGAAATCTGTTATTGTGATTTCGAATGAAACATTTTACATTTGCAATCAGTATGCAAAAGGTACTCTAATCTAATTCATTTTAAATCTACTATTGTGATTACGATTACAGTTGAATCGTACTTAGCTCCTAATAGCAGGTAGGTAGTCTAATCTAAACGAGGACAGCATAGGCGTTACATATTGAAGCATCCGGTATCAACCCTACCTATTGCTAACGCCTACATTATAGGAGCAAATACCTAAATACCTAATGAGGTGTTTAACGTCACTTTACTTTACCTAGGTGTAATTTAGCCAGCTGTGTGGGTACCTCTGCCTCATCAATTTCATCAATCAAACCGCTAAGTAGCTTTCTTTGTAAGACGTTTCCCGGTTGAGGGGCGATATATGGCAGTAAAAATACATAGAGATTGTATTTCCCTTAGTTCTACGGAAGGCCAACTTATAAATGAAAGGAATATATCGGGCGTCAATATTACACGAGGAGGTCGGTAGATAGTGAGGTATATCACATGGTTTTGAGAACATTAGAAAAACAAATTAACACCTGATGTTCAAGGGAACGCTCAGTTTCAGTTTTGATACAAAATTATAATTTAGTTTCTGCAGTAAATTTGCTGAAATCAAAGAGCACGTGTGCACAAATAAACACTCCTTTGCCAAATTATTGATTTCAGTGATTTAGAAGGATATAATATTATTAATTTTCCTTATGATATAGGTACCTATAATAAACTAGATATAATTATATGTATACTATATAAAGAAACAGATTTGACTCTTTGTTTGCATTGAAATTACTGGACGGATTTCAAAAATAGGAATACCATTAGGAAACACTTTTGGGAAGCTTCAATAATGTAGGTAATAAATACAACGTGTGAAAAAAATACCATAAAAAACCCTTATATAAAAACGCCGTACGCTGCGAAAATTATTGACAATAGAGCAAAGTGATGTAATAGAGTTTTATGGGGGACATCAATATTGAAGGGTGAGGTGAGAGGACATCAATTTGCTGGTGTTAAAATTTATAATGTTTGAAATTTTTGTTAACCGGACCGGCAGTAGGTATATTATAATTTTGATATATTTTCCAAATTTATCTTTTTATGAAAAAAAATTATTAGGGACCTGCCTGCTGTAACGATATAATCTGGCGGGGAAACAAAGAGCATGATTGATTTCTATGAAGGACTTCGAGTAGGTCGACCGGACCGGACCGTATCGACGTAGATACATACATTCTTTTTAATAGAGCCACTAGAGGCACTATTAATATCTATTTGTAAGTAGTAATTCTTTGTTGATTATTCTGTACTCGGATTCAGATTTATATTTGGGATTGAGAACTATATTAGACTATATTAAAATTGGGAACGCTGCACCGTATCCCTCAATAAAGTCGCCCCAATTACGTGGAACTCTATGTTTATGTATCAGATCAGTTTTCTATCAAAGAAGTTAATAATATCTAAGGTACCTTTCATTCCTTTCTAAAGGAAATAAGTAATATTTATAGTAGTTTTTCTTGTTGCCCACCAATACAGATATCTAATGTTTAGTTTCAAGTTCTATGATTTTGTATCATGGTGATCATTTTTCGACTCTAAATGAAAATAGGACAAAATGTTAGTATCCTAATATTTCCCTTCCATGTCCTATTTTTGATCATTGATTAAACAAAATTATTGATATCTGTACTGTATAGATGTCAATAATTTTGTATACCTATGCGCCAGAAAATAGAGACAAATAACAATTATCAATATTAAACAAATAATAGATTCAGCATAGTCAGTGTTATTTTGATTACAAAAAACACTGTCTGACTGATCCATTAGGATAATAATGAATCCAGTCCAGAATTAAATGATTTACACAAACTATTTAGTGAATCTGGCAGAAAATAATATTTTATAATTATCCTTACTTAGGTGGGCAAAACTTGATTCGTAAGCAGAATTTGTTTCCGCGTTATCCATTTTAGATAATGAAGTAGGTATAATCATTAACTTGCGAGTATTGCGCTACCTGCATAGGAAATGGGTTATAAAAGCATTTATTTTAAAGAACCTTCAGTAGAAAGAGCTATTAGTTTATCGGTATTAGTATTTTTATGAGCTACAAAATAAGACAAATAGTATTCGACCGAAGCAACATATCGTTGGTAAGTAATGTGTATGAACTTGTAATGACCTATGATACAAGTCTTCGACACGTAAACAAGTAGATAACAGACATTTTGTGCTTATTGATAGTAAGAGTTACGACGAAATTGGTCGAAATCATGGCTCTAACTATTTCTGCGGTAAATGCTTTAGATGATAAACAGTTTGAATCTATTTTTGGTAATGTTATAGAATTATGTATTGACGCTGCCGTGCAAGTGCGTAAAAAGAAACCTTTTAAAAGCTTGGTCGCTTTATGTGAAGCATTCAGTCAATATTTGGATGGACTTAGTGAAGCAGGTATGTTGCACTTATATATATGTTTTGAAAAGTAATCTTCATTACTCCAGATGGACTAATAATTTTCTATGATATAAATGTAATTTAAATATATAAATAAAATTGGAGTGTCTGTTTGTAATATTGAAATAACCGTTTTTTATTACGTGCATATGAATATAAATACGGCACATACACCAAAATATAATTTTTTACAATTTTTGTCTGTCTGTCTGTTTGTTCCGGCTAATCTCTGAAATGGCTGGACCGATTTTGACGGGACTTTTTTTGCCAGGTAGCTGATGTAATAAGGAGTAACTTAGGCTACTTTTATTTTACAAAAATAAAGTTAAATTCCACGTAGACCAAGTCGCGGGTACAGCTAGTTTATTATAAAAACCACGAACGATCTCTACGTGATATCTCCCCTAATTGGAATCCATGTTGGATCTCTGTGGAACTGACCTCATCTCGCTCATGTTATTATCATCCACTAGTGCCTGCTACCGTAGGTACATACTCTTAGCACAGGCGGCTCCATTATTGTGCATTAAAATAAACAAAATTGATTACAGAAAAATTGGTGGTGCTTAGACTACATCCAGACTTAGCCGGTCGCTTATCGTCACAGGGCGAGCTCACCCGTGAGTCTACCGCGGAACAGATGAGCGCTGGCCTCCTAGATCTTACTAATGGGCAGAAGACTATAATAAATACTAATAACGAAGCGTAAGTTATACTGTTATATAGTTATGTATTCTTAATAATAGCTTGTTTTTATAGAAATTGGACCAATAATTCATAAAGTTAGTAGTGTTACCAGAGGAAAGTTTGTACAAAATCATATACATGTGTACTACACATATTTCCGCTGCCAAGGATTTGTTTTAAGTTGCAAATCTTACTCTTAAAATGGGAACACTATTTTAAGAGATATAGAAGTGAACCTACAGGGTTCGTAGGTTTGAAACTCCTCCGGTAAGGTATAACAGGGTAGAATAAATTTAGTAATGAGTATAGAGCTGTAAATGTAAGCGACGAACACAAGGTTTTTAGAGTAGGTAACTTTTAGAAATCGGATATGAGAATCCAAGAACGTAGGTAGATATAGGTACTTTTACATAATACGTTTATTGTTCAATATTTTTAGTTACTTATAATGCATTTCTAACACAAGGGACAGATATAATTCGGGGCACAAGTGGAGGATAAGATGAATAAGATATCAGGTCAGTTAGCCCATCGTCAGAAATTCACCAGGACTTTATCACGATGGTTGCGTGGAAGTCAATCAGACATATTGGTACATTGCTAGCAATAGGGTTATTACTTCATATTGTTAACAATCCCCTTTCCCCTATTTCTATGTCTATTTTTTTTTGTGGATGATAATGGATTGGTGCACCCGCCTGCGCTAAAGGTTTACGCTGGCGGGGCACCAGTGGAGGATGATAAGATGAGCATGAGGTCAGGTCAGTTAGCCCATCGTGACAAATTCACCAGGAATTTAACACGATGGTTTTCAGGGGGAACCGCGTGGAGGTCGACCTGACATGGTACATTGCTAGCAATGGGGTTATCAATCCACATTACGAACAATCCCCTTCCCCCCTTTCTATGTCTTTTATATATGAATTAACAAAAAAGGTATTTTGTTAATACATATTCTTTACATCAATTATATGCTATCCATAACACAGGCTCTGCTGAACTTGGGACAAGATGACGCTGTGAATTGTTCTGAGAGATTATTATTATTCAAAATAGCATTTCTTCCATACAAAATATGCTACCAAATATACTAGAATAGACATAATGCGGTACAGAGAGTATAGGTACAAAATTAAATACAGTTGCCTTCCTGACGGACTTCACTGCGCCAATCTTAATGCCTCGTCTGTAATTTCACTTTATTCATATTTTACAATCAAGACACAATTTATAAATAACGCTGCTTAGAGGTTTAGAGGTAGAAATAGGTCTACCTACTACTACCTACCTGTCTCAGGTAGGAGGGTAGGTGGGTTGCGTTTACTTTTAGGAAGTAGGTACGATCCACTCTGAATACTAATTACTAGTTATGAATGAAATGACAATTTTTCTTGACGCAAGGTTGGTATAAAAATATGTAAAACATATTAGGTAATCAAAATATTTTGTTAGATCACTGCAGCTCATGTAGGTATTTATATATCTACTAATGATTGTAAAGGAATTTCATGTCGTGGTAACAATTACATTATGCAATTATAAAACAGAAACAAAATTAATCTCTACACCTAGGTATCGATTTGCATGTAAATATTTCTTTAATTAGGTATTAAGACAATTAATTTATCCCTTATAGTACCTACCTACCAAAGCCCGAAGTGACCGAAGTGCCATCTGCAGTATTAAAAGGAATTTTTAAAGATAGGTATTGTTCGTATGAAAAGAATAATAACATTAAGGACACGAAATCATTACAATTTTTTTGCATAACTTTGTATATATTGTTTTAATTGCAGAGAGTAGCAACTAGTGAACTAAAAATATAATTAATATAATATAATAAATATCAATAATACATAGTAATGTGTATCTAATACTCGTTTACCATTTTCATTATAGCATGTATAGTACTGCCATCTATCGGCGGCAAAGTGTACTGTGAAAGTGTCATTTTTGTTTTGTTCTATGCTATGGTTTTGGTTGTTTTAGTTCGTGACAATGCCGCTAGATAGAGCTGTACATAAATCTGAAAACAAAATAGTATATGATACACAATATACACTAAATTACTATGATAAAATAAGTACAACTTATAAAATAATATTTCTATTAGTGTGTTTTATATAAATATATTCCAGTAGATATAAAGTATAAATAACGAAGTGGTAGAAAGGCCTCATCAAAAGCGGTTAAAAATTATGTAGATATGGTTATCTTAGGCACAATAATCAATTTTGTCAAGATTTAAACATTTTGATACTGTTACGAAGTCGGTTGAAAACTAATATTAAATATATGTCACATGTTTAAGTAAAACATTTGCCCATAGAATTTGCTCTATCTCTCTTAAAATATTATTATATACGATTTAAGAAAATTTAGTCTACCTAAAGTAATAAAATAACAAATAGTGCTTGGTCACATGCATGCCTGAGATCGACTCTGCAGTCAAAGTGCTTGCATGGCCATTTCTGTAAAATGATATACAGACTTAAGACTATGCTCCTGAGTGATTCTTAATAATCTAGACTGATGACCCCATTACGAGCAGTCATATAGATCTACACCCAGTTTCTCCTGGAAATTATAGTGATAGATGGGCTAACTGAGTCGACCTGAATGCTCATCTTATCATCCTTCACTGGTGCTCCGTCAGTTCGACAAAAAGAAAACTTAACTTTCATTAGTAATTTGTCAATATGTGTTTATATTTAGGTACAAAACGAAGTTCGGATTCCCATTTATAATATGTGCAAGAGAGAATAAAGTACAATCTATCATTGAGGGTCTACAACGGCGGTATAACAACACACGAGAACAGGAAATTAGTATTGGAATCAATGAAGTCAAGAAGATTTGCAAACTGAGGATACTTGACATAGCAAGAGATTGATAATTTTACATTTCCATTATCTTTTTTTAGTCTACTTGGTTTCCAGCTCAGTAAAGAAATGTTTTGAGTCTGTGATGATGTCGCGACGGTGTACCAAAAGATAAAATAATTTTAACTATTCAAAGATGTATCTATACATAATATATTGGTATATACTCAAATATTATACACTTATATAATATGTTTAATAATAGTCTAATCATAAAAATTAAAATAAACATTTTTATTTCAGTGTGTATTTTTATTGAAAATATTAAGAGAAAAAATTATATAATGCAATACTAGATTTAACTAACTTATAAAAGTCCAAGAGACCTTTCCACAACAGCATGTGGTTGTCCAGCTACTTCACATAGATCTCTTGTGTTGAGGATGTCTTCAAATCCGATATCCAAGTGCCTTCCAGTCAGAACATCATGTTGGAGATTGGAACTTGGAAGGAAGGGCAGTCTGCCAACCTGAAAGCATTGTAATCAGTATATTATGTTAGGTGTCTTATTTTATTTTAACAGTTATAGAGAGCTTGTTCATAGACTTATTATATTTTCCAAGTTTAAACAATAAAGTTACAGATAGTGTGTGTAAAGTTTAATAAATTTAAAGATATAAAGCACACAAAACTTTATTTTTTTATTATTACAACATTTGCTTGTCTATTAATATAAACAACTATATTTCAAAACCAACATACATATTTATTAACAGCACTATGGATGTCACATTATCATGTGAAGCCTTTGGTGGATGTCTCTCATATGTCACTATTCCGCACAATTAAGATGTCATGATTTATATCCTGTAATTTCACTGCTCTATCTCTCTCTTCAACAATAATAAATGTTATGAAGCAATAGAATAGATATGTCTCAGGCACCTAGGTAGAAAACCTTTTCATGGTCTACATCAATAAACAAACAGTCCTCTAAGGCTGATAATTAAATTGAAAAACTTTTATTCTAATTATATGTTGATTGGATTGCCAGTTGTTTCAATAAAAAAGTGAGATTTTTAATAGATATGCTATGTAGAAAAAATAAACTATTGTTATTTTAACCTCATCTATGTCACTGGATAATACTGTTTGTAGAAATAGGTACTCTATCAAATTATGACGTACTGAATGAAATATCATAAAAATCCTTGTTAAATTATAAAACAATTAAATAAAACATACTTTACTAGCAAACTTCATTTCCATAGTAAGTTTCATTGGTGCATGTAGACCTTGGATATTACGCAGCATTGCCATATCCATTTTTTCTTCATTCAGATGGTACTGAAATTAAAAATTGATATGCAATAACACACACACTATAAATATTACAGTAGGATTAGCTATTACTTGACATATAATTGTAGGTTCAATTCCTCGCACGGTACAAACATTTGTAGTCATGAGTATGATTGTTTGTATCGGTCTGGGTGTTTTCTATATATAATATGTATGATTTGCGCATTGTGTGAATTGTCCTGAAATATTATTATTATTATAATCAGAAGAATAAGAACATATCACACACACAGTACCATACTGGTAAATATAAAAATAAAAAATAATTTAAAGCTAAAACTGTTAATTTTAGATGATATATTTTATATATATTTTAGAATAATCCACTATTGTCCAGGTGTTCAATAACATATTAAAGAGAATTCCATAAAATAATATTAACCCAGTAGAATTAAAAAATATCTTCATTAAACAGAAATTGTCTAATTTCCCCAGCTGAGTTTACAACAATGAAAATTCAATGTAAATTATGACAGAGTCGAGGCTTTAATGTCTTACATTTTTTTCAGAATGTTCCAATGGATGTGTGGTACCAATTTTTAATTTTGTTGCACCAACTCCAGCAACTAAAGGATCTGGTATACCAAATGGGCCTTCATGGACTTGAATGTTGGATACATGCTCCGGCTTGACTTTCAGAGATGGTAGACCAAAACTCTGAAATAAAAGTTAATAAATTCAATTATCTTTTTGAAACTCCACAAACAAACATGAACACAACTACTACCATTCCTCCAGTTGCTACCACTCTTGATACGAGAATGCTGCTCAAAAGGGCGAGACGACAGTAGGTTGTTACGGTGATAAAAGTAATTATTATGAAGAAAATTTATTAAAAGTTAAGACATTCGGCTTTAATGAAAAATGCCATATCATCGTTAATACAAAATAAATTGATGTTTGTTGTAATAAAATTACACTATTAGATATATTACAAAAAGTAAAGAAGATTGAGTAAATCTATGTTTTTTCTTTTTAATGCCTTTTAATTAATGTTACAATTTATTTTAACCTGAAATAACTTTGGATTGGAGAATACTCACCATTGTGATATTGTTTTTGTTATTTTTTAATCAGAATAGTTATCAAATTGAAAATTCGAAGATAAAATTATTTTTCGTTAAATTAAAAATTATAACAATAATAATTGAAGAAAAGACCAAGTAAAATATAATCAAATCAATGATTTTCAAGTTTATGAATCTAATTAATCTGTGACAATGCAGAATGTCACAGATGATAGATCGGAAAGATTAAAATGACATGGCACTGTCCAGTATCTGTCATTCATGAACTCAAGTGTACCATAATGGCTGTATGGGCGCAGTTCCCTGTGCCTTTCCGATAAAGGATAAATACACAAAAAAAAGTGTACCATAGACAAGCTATAAAGATGATTTATAGAAGTTCTAATATTCTATCACACTCTGGCTGCCATTATGTGAAAAGGACAGAATCCAAAGATTCTGTCGCTTTAAATCATTTTCAAGGATAAAATATAAACCTAACGCCGATGCCGTGACAAAAAATATCTGCTGAGTTTAATATGATTTAATAAGTATTTTTACATTATATTTAATTACTGAAAGAAATAGCAAATAGAAATAATGATACAAAATATTATAATTATTCATAAGCATATTTAGGTTCTAATCTATACGTATACCTAAAAAGTGTCTGTTTGTAATATTTAATAAACCATTTTTTACTATATGCATATGAACATATACGATATACGGTATATACCAAAATAACATTTTTTACAATTTTTGTCTGTATTGGCAGATCTTGGCCAATTTTAACGGGCTTTTTTTTTGGCAGATAGCTGATGTAATAAGAAGTAACTTAAGCTACTTTTATTTTAGAAAAATAAAGTTAAATTCAGCGCGGACGATGTCGCTAGTAGGTACAGCTTAATATAATTAATACTAAGTTTATTTGAATAAAAAATATATCTATTTCTCCAGCAAATAAGATCGGTACCTACTTACTCTATGATACTATCAATAAAAATTATTTCATTAAAGACAATATATTTTGTTTTTAAATACGAAAACTTTTTGTCTCGCGCCAAATACTTAATATAATTCGATAGTACAAACAAAAAAATAAATTATCCAAACTTTAATAAAGATTGACGGATATATCAGATTTTAAGAAATTTATATTACTTGCATTTCTTTATTGTAAAATGAATTAGTTAATTTTACCAAGGAACAATTAACAGTATTTAAAATGACAAGTCGTGGAGGAGGAAAGAAAGAGATGGTAAAAGAAAAACTGAATTATGTGTTTACTATACTATATATATTGTGTTACTGTATTGTTTGTAACAAAGGTTATTTATATATTCTGTCAATACTAAAGCTAATGGGCAGGTACGATGCTATTTATTAAGTATGGCTGTCTTCACTCCAGGTTCCTTACGGGTCAAGCAAAAAGTGCTTACAAGTCTTTTAATATTGACTTTATATATATTAATGACTAATATTGGCATACACGTCTTTTAAAATAATAATCTTCAAAATTGTTTACTACTGTCTGTCCAAAATACACAATAATAATAATAATATATCTACCAAAATAACTGTCACAGTGCCATCTAGTCTCAAGATAAGAAAGCCTTAAGAATTGATATTAATAGATAAATACATTTTTTCCGCTAGACTACCGAGGCCGACAAATATATCTATCAACCAATCAAATTCATCACATTTAGATATAACTAAGTGACTAGTGGTCTTTATTTTATTATTTGTAGGATCCCGAGGAACAGATGCGTCGGAAATTTCGCGCCAAATGTCTATTTCGAGCGCTCGGGCGGCTTGCAATGGCTAACATCTATTGGTTGATAGAAGATGTTGATCATTACGAAGGGGTAGATGATGTAAGAAGGAGGGTGGAACAAGCAGTACGAGGAAAGGCCAAAAAGAAGCATCTATTGACTGTTACCGTATGTATTAGGTACAGTTAGCTTTTGCTGAGGTAGACAATGGATTTGAAGCTTAGCTTAGCTAGCAATTTTTCAACAATTGAGTAGGACTAAACATTTATTATGAGTTCAATATGTCTTGGTTCACCAGGAGGCTTCTGAGCTTCTGGGAGGAAGCTTCTCCCAGCTGGCTACTTTAGTAACGGCCCAGATGAGATGCTAAATGCAGAGTATAGTCTTGGCTCTTTAACTTATTGTAACGAACAATGTTGCTATAAATAAAACATATATGTTCTAGGATAAAGCACTTTTAAATAAACCAGCGGAGGAAAGAACAGATCAAGAGAAAAAATATATTTATCGCATCATTGGTGGATTAAAATGTTTCAAACGTTATCCAAATGTAAGTAAGTCTATACAGCCATATTGAGTTTGAACAAATTATCTTTTTGTAATAAGTAAACTGTAGTCTTACGACTATCGAAAATGTACTTAACCATGGTGAATATTACAACCTAAACCTATGGGGTATATAGGGATAAATAGCCGATATTAAGAGTATATTCATATTACGAAAACGTGCCTATTGTACGATTTAATACATTATGAGTTATGATTATAAGCGAGAACATAGATACATCTATATTATAGATATAGGTAGTCTAATTAAGTCAGTATTAATACAGGCAGTATACTGTTGTGTAAATGTAATAGCACGTAAAAAAGAAACTTGCTGCGGTGACGTACTTCAAGTATTATGGCCCGGGGCGGACCATAGTTCGTCAACACCACGAAGCCCACGCTCTATACTTCATAGTGACTGGTGACATCATCGTCAGCCAGATGGTGTTCGACGAGTTGCTCCAAAAGAACGTATCCGTGGATATCGGTGTCATGCACTCCGGTGATATGTTCGGTGAAGTTTCTTTGTTGCATAACATTCCAAGAACTGCTACTGTCACTACTACTGGTTAGCTCATTACAAATACCTAATTACATAAGTATCACTAACTAGTGCTTACCAGAGATTTTGTCCATATGATAAGAGCCATAAGATAAGTAGATATCCTATTTTCTTCAAGCGAAAACCACGTGCTCACGATTATTGGTTGAATAGTTAATGTATTAAGATGTAACAAACAACCAAAGTTTTTTTTAGATTAACAGCCTAGGTGGTCTAGTTGTTTAACATACCACCTTACATCCGATGGTTGCGGATTTCATTCTTGCACGGAAAAATTGTATTTAGGAGTATAATTGTTTCTAATTGGTATAGTAATCTTGTGTTTACAAAAAAATGTATTCATCATTTGTTTAGTACCCATAGTACAAGCTCTATTCGCTAGTTTGCGACTAGATGACGCTGTGGGAATGGTTCTGGATTATAAAAAAGGATTACAATAGCCATTAGTAAGAATGATAATACATAGATATATACACTAGGTAGGTACTGTTCCTTTGTTTATTTGTTCTTTCATTCTGTAAGCCGTTAACAACTGCAATGAATCCTCGTGACTTTTGATATTTACATCTAATATTTGAGACTACTATGGCTTATGGATTTTAATAATCTATATATTCACGATGTCATAAGCATATAACAATAATTGACACACAACTACGCATCAATATCTGTTTTATTATTCCAGAATACTTTGAATTATGATGCAATATCAGAAAATTATTAACTAATTAAATTAATTGTTATTAATTATAAAATTCTTATTAACTTATTATTAATTAACTTTTGGGTATGGTCAGAATAGGACTCGTATGAAAAATGTTTCTTAAACTTTCTGTAAAGGGAGACGAACTCCAAAACTGATTATTCAAAACTACCGTATTACTATGATGTCAGAGTGGTCGTTAACTATATAGAGTACACAATAAAAAATTTGGTTGTTCACTGTCTGTTAATGGAAAACAATTACCCATATTATGATAACTATTAACAAGGGAGTAGGTAAACGCCAAAACAATGATTATTATGATTTTTGTCTGTATGTCTGACAGATAAAAATCATAATAATATAATAATCATTGTTTTTATACACGCTAGTCTCAGAAACGGCTTAACTTAAAATAGTGTTTGTTTTATGCCAATAAACAAATAAGTTAAAATTCACGGGCTCAGCTAGTATAAAAGATGTACATGTGTCGTCCTGACACCATTGTCCCATTTCTTTACATTCTTGCCCTATTTTCTTTAACAAACTGCTAAGAAATCGATTATATTCGTATTGATCACACTAAGCAAGTAGCACAGCAACAGCCAACGTGACATGTGAAGTTAGTTGTCTTGTCAACAAAGAAGTGATTGGTTGTATATATTGACCATTAGGTCACTGTGAATTACTGGCATTAATGAAAGAAGATTTCAAAAATGTGCTCCAAGCATCTGTACAGAAACAATGGGATGAAGTGCGGCATGCAATGTCAGCATTCACGTACTTCGAAGGTCTTGATGAGGTCCTTTTAACTTGTTTTTACTATTTAGACACAGATATTACATTTTTTATTTGTATCTGTAGCAGCGTTGCCAGACACCTCGATTTTGGAACGAAGTCGCGAGTTTTAGAGAAAAATAAAATGTCCCACGTAGGAAGTGTCCAGTCCAGCTTTTCCTTTATGACCTATTGACCTTTTTTAGTCAGATATTAAACAATAGTTCTTGTTTTTTTTCGTTTTACCTAAATGTGTTTGAAACATTGAATGACCTTATTTTTTAGGCTGCTTATTCTTATTCCACAGTCACTACTGATTAGGTACTATGTGACTTCGTATGTCTAGCTTAGAACAAAATAATCTCGCTTTTATATACATGAAGTTTTATATCCCGCTTGCTTGAAATAATCTGGCAACGCTGATTTATAATGATTACCTATATTTGTATATTTTGTAGTAATTTTCAATAATGTAACGATTATTTTCAGAACATTATCATCTCATATTTTTTTTATTTATTAGGTTGCACGTCGTGAAGGTTGTATAATGGCTAAAATGAAGTCATACAAGCCGAACGAAACCCTCCTCGGTGACGGCGTAGGAGTGGCCAATTTTGTCTACTTTATTTTATCAGGCCGTTGTCAGATGATTGAGACTATTCAAGTGGTCGTCACATCTCGTTTAGGCCGCAGTTATTATGCACTCTACGACCCATATGTATGACGTATTTTACATTTGATTTAGTATCACTAGAGATTGTATATTGTACTATTACAATATGTAAAATAAATAGTTCCACTACACTGTTCACAATTCCAATGTTTGAATCTAAGGTGCCTGATGAAGAAAGCGAGCAAGATTTTGATACGAAATATTTTGGAGCATATAAAAATCTCGACAAGGATAGTAAAGATACTCATGATTCCGTTGTCGCTACGGATGATCCAATAAAAGAAGATCGAAACAAAAGTAGCATTGCTCGTGAAGGTATAAGCAGTATATTAAAGTCGACCAGTGACGTTAAACAAAGACGGTCGGAAAGTTTAAAACATGGCAGCGGAAATGTTGTAATTAATGATGACGATGGGGTTAGACAGAGCATTACTAGCGATAAAGCAAAGTCAGAACGTTCAGCTTCTGTGAAATCACAAGTATTGATGGAGCCTTCTGAAGTGACTCGGCAATCTGTCAGGTTGTATAAAGTCTTTACAATAATTCTCATGTCCATTTAGTTAATCTCTAGGCAACTTATAGTATGTGATTAATAATTTACAATACAAACATATAACACTAAACAACCACGTGTGGTCGTACAGCTTGCTCTACCTCTAAAAAAATATTATTTAAAATATAATTTAATCTTCTTAGTTTAAACTAAATTATGAGTAGAGATTCGGTCCCTTCAGTGCGTTGGTAATTGGTTTGATGATAAATATAATAATTAGGTGTTAATATTTCAGATTGAGCGTCATTCCTGAGAAATCTCAGCCATCAACAGCGCCATTAAATACACGAACCTATTTCATGCAGGTCTACATCGACTTTTTATAAATGACTATAATAATTATTTTATACTTGTCTTTATCTAATAAAATCATTACAATTTATTGAGGTAAGGGTAGTGGCTAGGTATATTTATTGCACGTGCGTATCTATTTAGGTGCTGAATTATGATTGAAGTATACAATAGGTATAGTTGATTCTATTTTACCAATTTAGTGACCATACCCTGGCGCTGTAATTAATATTATAACTAATAATTATTAGGTATGCCAGCTAAACCCGGGTTCAAGCTTCGGTTTCGGCGAGAATATGCGTGATCGTCGCATAGTAGCCCTGACTCCAGTAGATTGCATGCTGTTACCCAAGATGTGGTTGTTACAGCGAAATACAGCTAACATCTGGACCCGTATACAACATTACCTCGAGAAAAAGGTATATTTATTAAACTAAATGGACTAATAAAATGGACTGATAAAATGAATGAAGTAATCAATCATGTAACTTTTTACTAAGTACTTAGATTTACCGTAAAGTTTGAAATTATTAACTTTATTTTCATTGAAGTTATCGTAAATGTAGAAGAAAATACAATATAATTGGTTTGATTTCAGTATTGAACTAGAATCGGTTGAAATTATATTTATTCTCAAGCATGCATAATGGTATAGAGTATTTTAATAAAATAAATATTTTGTGTTAAGCAAGATACCAAAAAAGATATATAAAAGCCTCTGTATATATATACTATGACGATCTCGTTGGTTTAGCTTTTTAACACATCCCCTTACTTTCGATGGTCGCGAGTTCAATTTCTCGCACCACACAAACATTTGTACTCATGAAGAGTATGATTGTTTGTGTCATTCTGGTTGTTTTCTATGCATAATATGTATGTATTTAGGAAAAATAAATACTCGTCAGATACCAACAAAGAAGCAGCTATTCAAAGAGTTCGTCTCCCAACGACGCTGGCAAGAGTTTCGTGAGCAGACAGTCAACGATGTGGTTTCCCGTTCCAATACCGTCAACTGGACCTCGGCTCATGACGTTCCGTACTCTATTAGGATGGAAGAAATGCTTGACATTTGAAAAAGAAAGTAAAACATTTTAGATATACTTTTATTTACATGTATCAAATATATTTGATGTAGAGGGTTCAGGTGTTTTATTGAGAGGTCATATAATTTAGACAATTAATATTAATTTATAGTTAATAATCTTCTGAATTTATAATCTCATTTGACATATAGTTGTAATATTTGTTTTTTTTATTATAAGAGGCATAATTAGCGAGCAAATGTCTCGCTAAGTTCCGTAAGTGTCTATAGGCAAGGATTTGGACAAAAGGATAGGAAGGATAAGGACAAAATAAAAGACAATAAAATGTATGTAATTACGAAAGAAGTCGAAGCTGTCATTTACTAGAATTCTTGTATCTGCTTAATCCTTGTAAGGCAAGGTTCTTCCTAAGTAGAAATATCTGCAAATAAAATACCTATCTATAGTATATGTAGTAATAGTGGTTCACGGGGGCGGAGGCCGCGGGGCGCAGAAATGACGAGGCAAGTAGGTGTACGACGATGCGGAATTAATAAGGTAACATGGTGACAAGGAGATCGAAGGTTTTATAAATAGTCATCTTCATAAAGTGGAAGGTAAATGATAAGTAAAAATTGTCTGAGACATCTATACCTTTAATATGAATTGATAGGTTTGATAGACACAAAAAATAATCATATTACCTATACCTGTGCCTAAACGTTCCACTTAGGGTACATTGAAATAATATAATAGCAAACATTAGAATCTAGTACGCCTACCTGATGCTATTAATGCATGTTAAAAATAATATTTTAATGTATTCACATTACATATGAAGCATATTTTTATAGATATTTTTAAAAATACAGGATTCTTCTGAGATCGGCGAAGATTAAAGTCAGGAACTACGTTCGTGTTCTTGCCGTATTTATGTGAGCGATAAAGTACCTAAATGAGCGTGGGTCAACTTTGCAAAGGAGAGTAACTACAGGTTCTACTATTTTATTCCCTAAAAGTTTTATAGGGAAACAATATAAAATGAACATAGTAAAATTTTTCCTTACCGCTTAACCAAGATACCAAATTGCATAGTTTTTTTTGTGAAAATATCGCATCGGTCACTTTGGCCATAGATAATACTTGACTTTGGCTGCTGATTGGAAAATTGCATTTGCATTTTTGTGATTGTGACTACTTTTTGTACAAACTTGGATCTCATCAATGTTTGAATTAAAGTTCTTTTTATATCTACGAGTAGGTACATCATACACTTTGCTACATTTAAGTAAATATGATACATGCAACTTGTTTTTCAATGGGGGAATCAGAACCTGAAAATCACAATTTCTGAATATGGAGAAAGAATAATAGTAATACCTCGCGTCATGTAACCTAGGCGACCGGTTTTGGCGGGAAACACCCACGCGCGAGCCCCAAGCAAGCGTACAGTCGGCATAGCAAGCAGGCAGCACATTCGACCGCAGTGCACCGCGAGAACCGATCGCCGCGCGAAATTCCGACGTCAGCCACGGCTGATCGAATTCCTATTTTTAATGATAATGTAAATAAACACATTGGATTTTTATTTTACTTGTCTTACACAAGATACTGGCTTTCTTATCAACATTTAAGAAGTTTTGAAGTACTTGAATTGGTAAGTCATTCATTTTTAAAGTTTATTATTATTCATACCAATACATGTTTGTGCTTAGATACTAGTTCACTTGGGTATAAAAAGTATACTTAATTATTTAATACTGTAGTTATTCAGTAACGAGATAAACTGTTTATAAGCACAAATTAGGTAAGCATTTTAATTACTTACGCAGTATCTATTTGTAGATAAATTATATGTTATAGACTTAATGATAGATACGAGTATGTATAAATTATTTACAAATATACCTATACACTTAATAATTATAAACTAGTTGTTGCCCGTGACTTCATCAGATATTTTTGAGATTAATAATAAACAAGTTCTACTTGTAGTGGTATACTTTAATCGTATATTCAATTAAAATTTGTGATTATCTGTTCAGCACAGAGACACATTTTCCGTTTATAATATTATTATATTATAGTATTTATTTTATCAGAAGGATCTCTATTGCACCTTTAAGATTTTAAGTTTCCATTATTATTTTTATATTGCAATGGAATTTGTTGAATAGATAATTTTGTAGTTATTATTTGGTATTTAGAAACATAAATATGTACATCAACAACGCCTCGAAGCTTGCTAATACTTGCAGCCTATTATTGAAGGACTATGTAGTAATTAAGACGAGCAGTATAATTTTTAATTAGCGCAACTTTATTGAGATTCTAACGTAGGCTAGGTACAAAGAGAATGTATTATAATTTATGATTTTGAAGTTTGAATTATTAGTTTGTTTCCGGTTACTTCCTTCCTTCCTTTTCCATTTGCTATATAAGTACAATATACAAAAATAAGTTTTTTGTTTTATACTTGTCTTATGTGTAATTATTTGTAATTTATATATAAATAAGAAAGTATGAAAAGAAGTGCAGCAAGTCGGAAGCGATTTTAAGTTACTACATTGTAACAGTACAGACTTCTATAATTCAAATCAGATTTTTATAATTATTAGGTACACTCCGAAGATAAAAGAGTTACTTCTTGGTTTAAACAAAAACTTGTACTAAGATGTATTTTTTTAATGATGATAGAGTGGTGGTGACGTTTAAGCTAACAACATACTCTACCAGTGGAAGATAGGATAAGCAGAAAGTCCGGTCAGGTCAGTTAGCCTATCGTGAATTTTTATTAAGGACCTGTTGGGGTCGACTAAATGTGCATTGTAGAAAAACTAGTGGCCTAATAGTCCACATTACTACCAATCTTCTCACCCCAACATTGCAGTGACGTTGTCGTCAAATCATTATATTGTTATTTCGTATGATTTATGCTAAGCTGTAGTTATATGTATATGTTATGCTTGTTTTGTTAGATACTCGTATATCCTTGACATTTCACATGTCTATTAGAATACAACTTTTATTGTTAGAATGTCAGAATATTATTTTAAAATATTAACTGTACTGATTGGTAGGTATTAGTTTTATACATGGCAATGACATCAATTGCTTCCTGTAATTGAATAATTGGCTTAAATGTCTATAGAACTCTGTAACATGCATCTACTTGCTCTACTATTACTTATGCAATGGAACCTTTTAATTTAAAAATCGTATTGAAAAATACTGGTAATTTTATTACAAAATGTCACCGACATTATTCTTATTAAGTATTTTCGTAATTTCTCTGGCAGTAATCTCTATTTATTTTTTATTTCCATTTATTTGAGATCATTCAAGTTATTCGGAGTCCAAACTCAAAGAAATAGGTACTATGATAGTATATTAATATATATCGTTACCACTTTGCTTGGTTGTTAGTAATGCATTTTGTTACTAAATAGTCGATGACAACATTCAAGGCCGGTTGTTGGTCAGGTTATCATAATATCAGTAATGAGCTCAATTGAGACAGCAAAACACAGATAGATGCCAATTTACGACCTTATCTAGACAAGGGGCAACTACTTACTTCATTTGTTTTCTAATTTTATCTTTTAATATATATCTGTCTGTTGTTGCTGTTGTTTATCTCTCTGTTTGTTACCTTTTCACGATTACAGCACAATTTTCTTTATAAATATAAATTTTGCCACGAGGACAAACATAAGCTACATAAATACTCTGGAAAGGGATGAAAAAATCGATTAAAGTATATGTCGATGAAGGTGCGGGTAACAGCTAGTATATAGATAACTTTCAGGTATTTCACTATTAATATGTTTAATCTGTGCCTGGATATTTTCTTAATCTATATACCTCTTTAAATATTGTTATTCTCTAGCAAGTTACCTACAACTGATCATTGCTGTATGTAACCATTAATAAATTTGACCTTTGATGTATGTTACAATAGAATGAAACTGTATTTCTAAATCTAAACCTACATGTGTATAAATGTGAAGTAGAGAGATAATTAAATGAATACTTCTTACCATGATGAAGTAACAGTATCATATAGATATACAAATACATACATATTAACTGTCATTCTGGAAGTAGAAGTTGAGTTCGTATCATAATTATAGCATATATTTGTCGTTAATTTGACATTCTTAATATCAACGACACACGTGTAGTTTCCATTTACTTGAACAGTACTAATGTTACAAAATGAAATTTAAATATTAATTCCTGAATATTAAGATATTAGATGAGCCGCGTAACTTGGTTTGCATCACATTTTCCCCATTTATGCTACATTTGTCATGTGATTACTACTTATGAGTTACCTATTTTCTTGCCCTAAGTTCCATCTACATTTATACCAAAATTCGTCAACATTCTTCGGTATAGTCGTAAAGGCGTAACACATAGACAGTGTTACTATGTAAATCGAAAACAAGTAGGTACTTTTGATGATGATCCTACTAATAGTTATTATAAATTCTATAGTTTAGTACGATAGATGTACTGACATATGTTAAGAAAAGTTACAGGTAGTTACTCCAACATACTCCTATAACTATGTCAAACTATTGTTTTTGTTCAGCGTAACCATGCACATATCGTAATTAGGAATTTGCGATTTGTTGATAGTCATTGAAAATGCAACTTTTAAAGGAAACTACAGTTCCTTATTTATTTCCTTTCTTCCTTTCCTTTCTTCATTTACTTATTTTTATATTTTGCCCAATTTATTATTATATTATCTATATTTAGGTAGGTTAGGCTTTATAATTTTTAACCTATATGTTTTTCTGATGCTATATTATTTTAAAGTTTACATTGACTCTGTTTTGTAATGTGTGTAAATTATTATTTGTATTTTTTATGTCATTATCGTTGTATCAATACGAGTCAATAATATTCTATTCTGTTCTATTTTAATCTAAAGTTTTGTCACTCGTCAATCTGTTCAGAAGGTATTTCGTGAAAGAGTCATAATTACTCATAAAACAAATCCACACACTTACTCACAAACTTTTGATTGTATAATGTTAGTAAGGATT